CATTAAAAAATATTGTTTTCTTTTATCCTCGTCACTGAATGAAGCTACATCGATTTCTCATATTAATATATACAATACTTCCCGTAGATATATTGTGGATATTAAACAGAGATTTGCAATTGAAGAGCAGGTTAATTATCGGGTTTAAGCCCTCCCCACTCAAAAAAAAAAAAAATTGTAGCTCAGACTAGATTCGTTCTCAGGGAGCAGCTTCTTTAGCTGGTGGCTTTGGTCAGATCGTCACCCACGAAACAGAACCAGACGAGCGATGCAGAGATGAAACGAGGTTGGCGAGAGGTGAACTGTCTAACGTCTTCCATTTTGTATCGCTGCGATGTGGTTTTCTGTCAGTGTCTGTGCCTTTGCCTGGGCCTCTCTGCTTTCCGCTGATAGTGACCACTGTCTTATAGAAAACATTGTTCTTTGTTTTATCATCTTTGTCTAACAAATGTAATCTATCAAAGTCTGGCTTCATTCAGTGACGCTTCGTGCCAGGGTCATTTGCCATGGTCATTGTGTTGCCCACTACTCTTAGCTGATAATCACCAGGAAAATAAATGCCTGAAACAATTTTTGTGACAGCTCATGTTTCTATGACATTGATATCACTCCGTAAGAAAGTTTCTTGATTTGATAAACATCCGGCCTGTTGTCCAGGAATCAAAGTCGCAGTCTTTCTTGAGTTGATAAACATCCGGCCTGGGTCCAGTACAAGGCCCAAGAGCCACCCAATATAGACGCTTACTAAATAAGTAACTGAGCGGGTTCTTAACTACCGGAGACAAGCTCATTAGTTTTAGAGGAATGGAGGACCCGTTGAAAGTAGGGAGTGACAAAGAGTGCTCAGGTATGAGCTGACATCGCACACCCTCATTTCCTACAGGGTTACTGTAAATCTATAGCATTAAGTAAATCTCTATAGGGAGATTAGGTGTGGCCATATAAGTACCCCAGGAGTAACACGCACCTAACTAACGTAACGTAACTTAGTTAAAGCCGGAATGACACCCTCCCTAGCGAGAAGAAAACTTGTCACTAGAAACAACGTATTCTCAGTGAAGGACTATATGTATATTTCTTTAACTCATTTCACCCCAACTAAGGAAACAAAGCCACTAACAAGCAAAGGGTATTGAGTGTAAAAGAATATAAGAAAAATATTAAGTAAAAAGAAGAAAGAAAGAAGAGAATTTAAGAGGGCAGAATATAATGATTGGCATTGCATTTAACTTTTTGAAGATCAAATCTAACTGGAAAGCAATAATCCAGAAGAGTGTTCCGCAAACGAAGACTACAAGAGAAAAAAACTCTTAGCACAGAACCTGCGGTTACATCTAGACATTTTGAATGCAAATTGATGAGACCTAGCCGCCAATATAGTAAAGCGCTTAAATTCATAGAGTCTAGGTATGATAGAGAAGAGTTCAGCAAAAGCTTTACCATGAATGTATTTATAGAAAAGTCACAGGAAACCAACATTACGGTGGCAGGAAAGTGACTGGTGCCGAGAGGCCAGATCAATACCAATAATAATGCTGATTATTCTTCTTTTTTTTTTATTCAAGAATTTCTAAATATATAGCAAGAGCACCAGACCATATGTTGCAGCAATATTCCGAGTTTGGACTTGAAAATAAGTAAGATAGACGCTAGCCATAAAAATTGTCTGTCATGACACAGTCAACTAATCTTCCTAGTAGCAGATGTAGCAATCGTTTCGATAATTTATCAAAGATTACGGGCCCAATATGCGAAAGGCGGATGTAGTTTAGTAGCCGTTGCTGGAAAAGTAAACAATAAATTGCGCATCCTGTAGGATCCACTTAATCCAAAGGTAGAGCATCAGGTGCCTTCGTCGATCAACTCTTAGACGATACTCAAATCAGAAGGAAAGCATTGGTTAGAGATATGGATGACAGAAATGGTTGGAAAGAAGTTGTCGGGTTACCTCCTCCTAATTTTCGAAACTGTTACTAGGGGACGCTCTCCGGGATTATAAATATTCTGCGATAATTTTATCACGCTTTTCTGATCTTATTTCTTCAATATGTAAGTCTCTCACACTTTTGGGGACACGCATGAACAATACACACACACACACACATACACACACGTACGTACGTACGCAGATTCACTGAGAGTAGAATATTGGTTAGCTTGCAAGTGGTCTGACACGTAAGTAGACTGGTGTAGCCACCAAGTTGAAAACTAGCCCTGAGTCATTTAATGGAGAGATATATGGGTGAATAGAGACCACTCATGCAAATGTGTTGGGCAAGGTCCATTCTAGCAAAATAGACCAACCTACCTGGTCCATTCTAGCAAAATAAACCAACCTACCTGGTCCATTCTAGCAAAATAGACCAACCTACCTGGTCCATTAGCTACTCTCCTATAAATGAGGTAAAATTAGCTGGCTTGCTTTTCCAAGAAGACACAAGAAGGCAGCCATGTTAAAAGGTAAGTCACTTGACTTTTACACTCACTTCACATACTTTGGACCAAAAACAGCCGTTATCTTCCCTACATATCGGCATAAAATGTAACCTCTACCTCAAGTGGCTCCCGGGCCATGTACATGACGAACCTCGCTGTTTCAAAAAAAGGCTCGAAGCGATACAGATGTGGTTCTACAGATTCTGAGAACAATATAGCCAGAACACGATAGCAACGAGAATGACTAAAGAAAATGGGAACTAAATTCTTTAAATTAGCGACAAATGAAATTTCTGGATTTTGAGGATAGACAGCTTGGGAAACTTAATACTCACAGGACGCATTGAGGGAACAAAAAGATGGTCACGCTGAGTAATTAAACGTTGATTAGAGTTATAGTGGACAAGAAATTGTAGAGAGCCATGACTGCCTAGGTTCTTAAGTGAAACGACACAAAATAAATGATCCGATGAACGGTCAGATTCATGAAAGTTCAGGATTCGATGTCATCAAGAGAAACATAAAAACGGGTGTTCTTCGTAAGATTTTTCCTCAAATAAATGTCCAACTATTACTGTTCGCTTTCCTTGGACTTTCGTCATGACGAATGTCTAATCTCAAAGACTATGTGCTGCGAAGTGTAAATATGAATTGCCTTTACGGATCTGTCGCGTTAACTCCTCCTAATTTCTGAAACTGCTCCTAGGGGACGCGTTTCAGCACTATCAATATTCTGCAATAAAATTTTATTTCTCTCTTCTTAATTTTCCGCTTATATGACATGTAAATCTATCACGGAAAAATGCGTTCCCTTCTTGGGACACGCATGAACAATACACAGACACATGTATGTACGCACATCCACTCACTTCATACTTTGAACCAAAATTTTCCACATTCATTTGTTACACACATTATTGTCTTTGTCCGTTGTAAACCTTTGTAGTTAATAGATTATCATTTATTTGTACATTATTGTAACCTAGAAAAGGTTACTGAATGAGGAATAACCAAAACGGAGGTTGGAAATGAAATGGTAATCTTTATAACATCAACAAAATACAATACTCGCCAGCGGCGTGAAATAGGTAAACCACTGCAGCATTTTTCCCCGACTTATAATAGTGCCCGACGTATTTATAAAGACTGGGACATACCCATTAGTGTTCATAGGTACCTTATATAACATACATATATATATATATATATATCGGTTCTTGTTATTTCCTTATAATTTCTTTACGTGGACTCACATCCCGAGTCTGCGATGTTTGTTGTAGGCATTTTAGGAGACTCACCTGTTTATTTCTCAACGCATACATCAGCCCGCATGAAAGTGATAAAAAGTGCTCATTTGGGGACGATCAGATATTTAATAAGATGCAACTGGGAACTTTTGTATCAAACTATTATTAGCATCATATGTTACATATTTACATTTGATGTCTAGCAGTTATCATTGGAGATTGAGTTATATAAAGTCTTTTCTCAATTTCTCACAGACTACAGACCAAACACAGTGGAAAGCAGTCTCATTTCTTTGTTGAATGTATGTTTTATTTAATGCCAATTCTACCATTTTCCGTCCAATCCTAACATCTATTATGGCAAGTGACCATCATTTTTAAAAATGTTTTTTTGACCTTGTATGTTCATTGTTATAATTCTTCCGATCACAATTCGAACATTTTTCGTACAATTTTAGTTCTGCCATTTATTATGTACATTCAATATACATATTTCAGTATACCTAATTACCAGAGAAGTCCTGGTTATTAAAAGAAAACCAGATTTTTTTGTTTTCTTCTTGTAGCCGGCTGGAATAGACACTAACACAATATGGTGGATACCGATTTCCTGGTTTAGTTCAATAAGATTCTGTCTTTTGGTTTCAATCTTGTGGCTGGATTAAAAAGTCACATGATCTTATTATTTGTGACTTTCTAAGACAGCCTCTAGTTTTCGTCGATTCTGTTTGTTTACGCAGCCGAAAACATTTATTATTCTTATTTACTGTGTCAGAGTTATTCTGTTAAACTTTATCCCCGTCCTAAATACTTCTCTGATTATGGCCGCGTTACTAAATGATGTCCTTCCCGAAGTACGTCATCTCTAAGCATTACTGACCTTTCTGTCAGCGGAGGACGATGTTATATTCACAAGGCTCCTGCAAACATTGTTATCACTTTTCAGCCTGGGTTTTTTTTTCCCACAGTTCTCTTAACGGCATAATTGGGCCGCGCTTTCCAGCGTCGAACTCATTTGTCATGGTTGAACATGTTGTTTCACGATAACATCTTCAGTGTTTTGATAATCTTTTAAAGGTGCGACGTTAACGACCATCACCGCCAACAACAACAACACCACAGCTACCAGCCTGCGACACACGACTGGCACACACGCGTGCACGCACGTAGACACACACAGATACACATAAACACATGCACATAGACACCTATACACACCGGGAGATATTATTCACACAAATAATAAATAAAATTAACCCAAAAATTGTCCTGGGAAAACGTGTTGCGCGTTGCTCTTTTTTATATAAAAAGATAATTTTAAAGAGAGACATAGATAGATAGATAGATAGATAGATAATGAGAGAGAGAGAGAGAGAGAGAGAGAATGTGGCAGAAAAATGTTGTGTAGTGTGTTGTTCTATTCTATATGAAAAAATATAATTTTAAAGAGAGATAGATAGATAGATAAATAGATAGATAGATAATGAGAGAGAGAGAGAGAGAGAGAGAGAATGTGGCAGAAAAAAGTTGTGTAGTGTGTTGTTCTATTCTATATGAAAAAAGATAATTTTAAAGAGAGACATGTGAGAGTGTGTGAGAGAAAAAGAAAAAGTTGTGTAGTTTGTTATTCTTTTCTGTATGAAAAATGAGATAGTTTTAAAGAAATGGTTAGAAACAACCTGAGACACATATGAACAGAGTGAGATAGATAGATAGATAGATAGATAGATAGATAGATAGATAATGAGAGAGAGGGAGAGAGAGAGAAAATGTGGCAGAAAAAAAGTTGTGTAGTGTGTTTTATTCTATATGAAAAAAGATAATTTTAAAGAGAGACAAAGAGAGACAGATAGATAGGTAGATAGATAGATAGTGTTTGCGTGTGTGTGTGTGTGTGTGTGTGTGTGAGAGAGAGAGAGAGAGAATGTGGCAGAAAAATGTTGTGTAGTGTGTTGTTCTATTCTATATGAAAAAATATAATTTTAAAGAGAGATAGATAGATAGATAAATAGATAGATAGATAATGAGAGAGAGGGAGAGAGAGAGAATGTGGCAGAAAAAAAGTTGTGTAGTGTGTTCTATTCTATATGAAAAAAGATAATTTTAAAGAGAGACAAAGAGAGACAGATAGATAGGTAGATAGATAGATAGTGTTTGCGTGTGTGTGTGTGTGTGTGTGAGAGAGAGAGAGAGAGAGAGAGAATGTGGCAGAAAAAAAGGAACAGTTGTATAGTGTGTTGTCCTTTTCTATCTGAAAACTAAGATAATTTTAGAGAGAACAAAAAAGAATGTGAGAGAAGGAAAAGAGAAAAAAAAAAGAGGTAGAAAGAAGAAAACGAGAGCCCCAAAAAGAGAGAATCAAGAGGAAAGAGTGAGAGGAACGTATACGAGAGAAAAGAGAAAGAAAGAACTAAAGATGGATGAGAGAGAAGGGAGTAGGAGAGAAGAGAACAAAAGAGAATATAGTGAAAGAGAAGACAAAGAATAAAGTGAGAGAAAAGATACAAAACTGATTGGCAGATCTAGAAAAGAGTAAACAGAAGAGAAAGAGGGAAGGAGAGAGAGAGAAAAGGGAAAAGGAGAAATGTATAACCATTGCTCTATGGTGGTGTAATTCTTTTCTGATAGTTTCGGGACATAGAATGTTGCAGTTATAAGCACTAAGTAAGATTTGAGTTCACTATACTTTGAAACCAATCTGTTAACCATTGCACCATGGCAAGTGCAAGACAAGTATGGAACACCCAATGAGGATTAAAGTAACTGCGTTTGTAATGGCCTTCAAGACCAGTCTTTTATCCATTAGACCACGGCGATATGTTTTGCTTCATAAAGCTTAGATTAGTAGGGCACAAGACCTCAAATATGGCGTACACCTCTAATTGATCTAGCCAGACAAACTTAATAAGAATATCATATATATATATATATATATATATATATATATATGTGTGTGTGTGTGTATGTATATATTGTCATTCATAGACAGGCTGTTTCGCTGTATCACAGTTCATCAGTGTGGCAAGACGTCCGGTTGCCTTTAGCTAGGTTCGAAACCCGACTGAATTGGCGTCAGTCGGGGATTTTACCACTAAGCCGTTGGGATGAAGGTTAATTTAAACGTATTTATTTTTAGATAAACACACAGTGACTGCGAGAACTCGATGCATTATTATCCGTAATGGTCACTGTTTTCAAACCTACACTATTGTCACTCACCGACAGACTGTTTCACTGTATCACAGCTCACCAGTGTGACTAGACATCCGACTGCATCAAGTCAGGGTCGAATCTCGACTGATTTGGCTCCTTTTTGCCCTAAGATATCGGCTCTCGGCAGAGAAGAAAGTGAATTTTTATGTATTTATTTTTGAATAAACATGCCAGTGACTCAGAGTGCTCGATTCATGGAAGAGCTTTGCATTATCATCAGCAGCAGTCACTGTTTAGAAATTCGCACTTTCCCTCTAAAGTGCTAGTGGGTTTAAAATTCCGATCGATTTCGTTGCATTCCCTTTCGAACAAATACTCTTAGGAAATGTATGGATCCATACCTTCTTCTGCAAGCTATGGATTAAATAGCAGAACAGATATGGTTCTCTAAGTTTGGTTGGCAAAACAGTCAATGGGAAGAACAACTGGCAACTGCACCCTGTAAAAAGATACTTGCCACGGAAATCGCATATAAAATAGCAGAGCTTTCTCGCTTTGTTTGACAACTAACTCGAAGTACAGCTCTCATTTCCCAACCGGTTCAGAGTTGGGCTTGCACTTCTAGTCCGTTAAAAGCAACTTGTTATAGAAAACAGCAACAGCATCAGCTAGTCATGGCGCTATGTTCCACAGGAAATGATATTAAAAAGGAAGGAGGAGGACTTTAGTTATATATTAAGAAATCAGCTTCACAATCGCTGCTTTATTGCCAAGATTTTTGACATTTACGAAGCTTAATTTGCTTTACGGCAGGATCAAGTTAGTAACATGAATCCGAACCTAATTAAATTGTGGTTTTTATTATTAAAGAACAGAATTTGGCCATTGTCGCAATATCAATCAGCTGTGATCTTGTGAAATTAAAGAGCCTCGCTAATCCCAAATCCTATAAGCGAGAATATAGTTGTCGATCCTGACAAGTAGAATGAAAATCAGCTAATTTTTATTTTTATTTTGAGTACTTCTGTTAGAATTTTTTAAAGTCAATTCACCCCAAGGAAGGCGATGATGCCACTAAGACGTAAGAGAGTGGGGCTGTGGAATATGAAAAAAGAATAAGAATGCTATAGAACGGGAAGTTCAAACATAAACAGAAAACAAAGGATAAACTTATACTTCCGTCCAAAAGATCGAAAAGGAGTTGAAGAAGATAATCGAATCTATCTACTCCTACTGAAGAAAAATAAATAAATAAATGAATAAAAAAAAGAAGTAAACATTTAAAAAAATTCAGAGTTTAGGCGAAGATGTTAGAAGTATAGCGTTAAAGTAGATTTTAGAAGGGACCGGAAACTCAATCCTTTACAGGAAAGAAGGGCTAACAATTTACCCCTGTTAAAAAAAAAATGAGGAGTTGTGTGAACCGGGCGATAGGCAAACCTTGAAGGAAAAAATAAAAGAATAAATAATAAATAAATAGAGTTTTAGAAGGCACCATAAACATACCCCTATATAACAAATTAAAGCATACATCCCTACACCTGTTCAAAATACCAGGGAGGAGTGTGAACCTTACGATAGGCGAACGTATCTACTCCTATTGCTGAATAGGCACCCTTAACGATCATTTAACAATCACATGGCTGATACACTATTTACATTATTCGTACTATTGTACTCATCTTTGTCGCCATATTTATTACAGCATTTCGGCCGTTGTACGCTCCGGCCTTCGTCAGGTGGTTAGAATGTCGAACTGAACTCTTTATTTCGCTCACTGGTGTAGACTGTTTTAATTCCACGTGCCATGTTTGATGGATGTTGTCAGTTATCTCCTGTTAATTCTCATTTCCAAGTTCTCCACTGCCTTAACCGGGTATTGAACTTTGGGTCCTGTCATTGGATCTCACTAACGTCTTTATCCACTGAGCCATGTGTCCTTGTGTATATGGATTTCTGGGTATTATAAACCTAATGTCATCAGCAACATTTTTTACCAGTGGTCATATTGCAATATTTTTTTTGCTTCTATCATTCTATGTTTTTACAAGAGCTCATATTGCAATTTTGTTGTTATTATCGCTTTTCTCTGGCACTCCTGAAGAAGACCGGAGCGTACAACGGCCGAAACGTTGTAATAAATATAGCGACAAAGACGAGGACAATAGTCCGAAAAATGTAAATAGTGGACATAATACCTCATCTCAGAAATATAGACAAATACTGAAAGGCCGAAATGTTGTGATAAATATGGCGACAATGTTGAGGGCAATAGTCCGAATAATGTAAATAGTGTACATAATACTTCATCTCAGAAATATAGACAGATACTAAAGGCTGATAGTTTATAATTTACCAGAAATTTACCAGTTTAAATCATATTCAAACATACATTTTCACAGGCAATTATATGTTTATTTTACGACATTGCATAGCAAAATAGAAAAAAAAAACTTCCAAGCGATTAGAAAATAATAATCCTTTAAGAAAATAATCCACAATTTTGTTGAATTCTGTTTCTTCTCGTTGTGTGAATTGTCTTCCATGTTTATTGTTCCATTTTTCTGTATCGTGCTCGTGGTAAAAAATATGATATTGCTTGTGGCAATGCAAATATATTCGAATATTTTCAAAAGTTTCAGTTTAAGCCTTACTTTTTGAGAGGAAGTGATATAGTATTGTAGAACAGGCATATATGGCTTCTCGTTAACGCATATGGTAGCTACGAATATACTAGACAGTTCTTCGGCCTTGCGCCACACCAGCAACACCCTGCTAATCACAACTGCTACTATTATTTTTGGTCATGTTGACAGTAACGGAAAAAGACTTCACGAGAATCGGTGGTATATGCTAAATAAATAAAAGCGAAAATGAAAAGGAAATATAAAATAAGTAAGATAAGTGTAATCACCTTATTGACATTATCGGGACTGTTATCCTCATCTTCATCACCTGAAGAAGATCGGAGCGTACAACAGCCGAAACGTTGTGAATATGGCAAATCTAATCTTTCCATGTTCACAACGTTTCAGCAGTTGTACGATCCGGTCTTCTTCAGGTGATTGGAATTTCAAACTGAACTATTTATTTCGTCCACCGGGGTAGATTGTTCTAGTTCCACGTGCCATGTCTCTTCCTTATGTCTCAGTTATTTCTATTTAACTCAACTGTTCAAGTTTTGGTTAACCACTGCTGTGGCCTGGTAATGAACACACAACTCTTTGGGTCTAGTCACTGGATCTAACCAACGTCTTTATGCACTGGGCCATGTGTCCTCATGGACACATAGCCTAGTGGAGTTGTGAGTTCAATATCAGGCCACAGCAGTGATGAACCCAAAAACTATTCGGGAGTAGGCTAGGCCTTCACCGCCACCTCCATCACCGCCGCTAGAGGTGAGAAAGGGGATAGAGAGAGAGAGAGGATGACGATACAAATGCTCAGATTCAAGCGGGTACCGATTTTCTTGCATCTTTTACAGTTTATTCGTAAAGAATAATTATCAGGGCCCCAAGATGTTTTTTTTTCCTGGAAAGAGTCTAGGGAGATTTCAATCAAGCCTTTTTACGGGAGACGTAACTAGTCGACGCATAAAACGGTTTACTTCATTGATATACCAAGCGCAGATTAGAGGTGGCACAAGGCCACAAATATGGGGCAGGCAATGAAGATCGATCTCACTACTTAGTTGTATTGCAGTTGATCTAGCCAGACAAGCTTAGTAAGAATATCATATATATATATAGTGGCCAGGTTATATATATATATATATAGTGGCCAGGTTATATATATATATATATATATATATTATATTAATAGGTTATATATATATATATATATATATATATATATATATATATATATATATATGTATATAAAGCTGGCCATTCGTATTCGAGGACACCATCTACTAGGGCGGTAAGCTAATCCCTATTGCAGACGCTCGCTCGCTCAGGCACATTTGTGTTTGTTCAACACACACAGAGCCAACCTGTGGTTTATACTACAACTATGGCGAGAAGACCTTAGTTAAAGTTTCTGTGAGAGAGCATGTTATCTAGTGTGGTCAACAATTTGAACAAGGCCAGCACACTCAAAACCTCAGTCACGATGGCTTGTGGCTTCGTGCTAGCACAGCTCTCTATATATTTGAGATAGTCGGCGCAGTGGTTGTGTAAGCTGTGAAGGCAGGACATGAACAACATGGATGCTGTGGTCTGTAACTGTTGCCTTCAGTGGGTGCACCTGAAGTGTAATGGCAAAAGAACCATACCCTAGGGCAAGTTTGGGATTTGCAGAGAACGTTATGCCTGAAGTGCTTTAAATACCCAGAGACTTCTATATTTTTTATATTTGAAGATGAATATATTATTTTAACCTGTGTTTTAATGTTACAGTGCGGCTTCCTATTTACAAAATTGATGGAAGGCAAAAGAAAATACTCTAAATGGATTCGACTAAAAAAAAAAAGTAAATAAATCCCAAATTCCCAGCACCCCACCTCTGTCGTGCGCATATTCCGTCCAAATTAATCTCAGAATTCATCGTTAGAACCCTATCTCTGTCGATTCATATCTCTTCTGTAAGGAAAGTATCCACCATTCAGTGCCACATAGGAGATTAGATATATAGCAGTTCAGCACTCTTTTCTTTGTCCGTTCGAATCTTGTCGTTAAGTGAGAAGTGGCTGTATTAATAACCTGCCATTGACTTCATTATATTCTGGCTTTCTAAAATATAAATTTACCTTTGTTATGGGCGTGTTAAATTCTCCAAGTATACTTTATTTTTAAGCTTTTCACCCCAAACAAAGCAGGAGTGCCACTAGCACCCAAAGGGTTTACAGAGAGTGGGAGTGAGAGTAAAGAGGGGGGAAAGAGGAAAGGATAAAGAGAAGGACGGAGAATAGACCAAGGCATCTGGAGATGTCGATTGACATTGCATTTGAATAGTTGGAGATTATAGCTATCAGGGAAGCAAGTAAGAGGAAGGTAGTTCCACAGACAGGAAGCGCAAGACATGAATCTATTGGAGTAGAAATGAAGGCTACATTTAACCGTTTTGTCATTGAAATTGTGCGACTGTGATGCTGACACAGGGGCACGTTTAAATTTATGCAGTCTGGGAACTAGCGAAAGTAACTCGTCGGAGCAGTTACCGTGAAAATATTTGTAGAAAAGACAGAGGGAAGCGGCGGCATGTCTGTGAGAGAGAGACTGTAAACGAGATGCCAGATCAAGGCCAACCACATTGCATATCCGTTCCTGGATTTTGTGGAGGACCTTAAGACGAACATCGTATTACTTCAAAAGTTAGTGTTAAGGGATGCTGGTTTCTCCTGCAAAGGCGGACACGGATACGAATATTGTCGCACATTTTCTTTAATAAATTTTCTCAAGATACTGTCGAAAATGATACGGAACGTCTACTGAAATATGAGCATCCACGAAAAATAACGCTAGAAGTAATAATATACATACATATATATATATATATATATATATATATATATATATATATATATATATAAGTGTATATATATATATATATATATATATGTGTGTGATTCCAAAAATTTCGATTGATGATGAAACAAAGCTTGATACTTTAATTCAATTTAATTTTTAGCGCCTGTTTTTGAAACATGACACCTCTTAGATAACGATGGAATCATATTTTTAAAAATCATCATAATATATATATATATATATGTGTGTGTGTGTGTGTGTGTGTGTGTAAAAGTGAACCGTTGTGGACTGACGATTGCGTCTAGCATGAAACAGCCTGTCGCCTCTAAGTGTTGACTTCAATGTTCACTTTTATATTTACACACGCTATCTCTGATATTGAGCACTTTATCCCATAAATAGAGCACACCTTAAGACTATATTCCTTCATATATATATATATATATATATATATATATATATATATATATATATATATAAGTTTCATGAAAACGACTGACATGGTTAAGTCTTTTATTCAATTCTTCTTGTGTTCTTATAATTGTCTTCTTTTCTAGACATAAATTATGTAAAAATCGTCTCAATGTTTTGTAGTGCGAGCGCTTTCGGCTACACTTTTAGCTATTATCATTTTAAGGTAACCATTAGCAACACTGAACATCCAGAAAAAACAACAGCATTAGCATCTTATATAAAATCTAAATGCACATTAACTATAAGCAAGATGAATCTTCTCTTAGAAACATTACAAATACACAACTCGAGTCGACAAAAAACAAGAAAATTAAATTAATTATCTACTGTAAAATATTTGAAACTGCAAACCTCATCGGCAATAATAATAACACACCTGCAAATCCAAATTACAGAAAGCCAATATTATTTACGAATTTACATATCTCTTAACCCTATAATATTAAACATGGGTATACAGTACGCAGTGCAAATTTTCCTATTTTTAATTACAATTTTTAGTACCTGATTTTCTTACCTAAATAATATGTTTTTCAGTTCCTATTAATGTTACAAAGTTTGAAGTGCCTGCATGTAAAATATTTCAAATAAAGATTGATATTTTCAAAATCGGGTATGATATACCCGTGGTTAGTAGTGGTGTAACTTTAATTGATGGTTAGTGTTCTAGGGTTAAGGAACTGTGTTTCTAATAAAAACAAATTCATAAATAATTATATTGGATATATTACAACACGCCTAACAAGAAGACATACGTTACATCTTTCTGACCATAGCTCAATTAGGTCTCATTTAGATACATATAGAGACCTACCAGACCCTATCCGAACATGTTCGTTGATAATACAAATATAACAGCTTGATCCACATGAAAAAAACGACTAAAAATAATGGAAGCATTATTACTGCAAAAGAAAAATCCACTACTCAATAATATCAACTAACATGGCCACAATGTGCTGACCATGTTTTGAAAATAAAACATTAATGTAACTCTAGATACACGCATGAAACAATGCAAACATTCAATTAAAAGTAAAGATAAAATCATTCGTGATAATGGCTAAAAGTATAGACGAAAGAGCTCAGAACATTCAGACAATTTCTACATAATTTATGGCCAGAAAAGATGAAATTTATATTTACCCAAGAAAAAAAAAAATTAAACCTGGTACCTTATCAGTCGGTTTAATGAAAAATTGTATATAAGAGGGATTGCTGCCCAAATACACAATTACACACACACACATATATATATATATCCATGACTATAATTCATTTCCACAGAAAATATATTTTTCCTGGTTCATCAGTTACATCTCTAGTTACAAAGGGATTTCATTTCTTTTATTTTTAATACAAGTTTTTGAAGGATAGCTTTAGATTCATGTAATTGATGGAGGAGGGGGAGAACCATAGAACCATAGAATAAACTAAATTAGAAATGGAAGGTAGGAATAGGGTTGTGTTATATATATATGTATATATATATATATATATATATATATATATATATATATATATATATATAACATAGTATTAAGTATATATATATATAATAAAAATATAGTATTAACTATATATATAATAATATAGTATTAACTATATATACTTATATATAAATATATATATAATAAAAATATCGCATTAACTATATATATATATATATATATATATATATATATATATATATATATATATATATATATATATAATAAGAATATAGTATTGACGCATGCTATATTTATGGATAAAAGTGCTCAAATCAGAGATGGATTCTATGTAAATATTAAATTAGACACAGACGTGATGAAAATATATTTTAAAAAGTAAATTTATAATGATTTCGCATATATTGTTTTAATTAGAAAAAAGCAATCTTTTCATTTATTTTCTTCTTGTCATGCTGATGTGATTTTCTTTTCTGCTTTGATAACAAAAACTAACATAAAAATAATCGGCTCATTATTAGCGGGGATAAGCGCGACTGAATACCACACATTATTATCACTCACTTATAAATTAGAGTTGAATTAGCTTTGTTTTCACAAGTTGTATAATTTTAACAATATTCTAGAAAGAAGCTCGGTATGATATGCCGCTTTTGTCATGATACTGTAGCACATCTACAAAGAGAATTTGTTTTAATTACAATTAAACGTTCTTCATCTCACGGGATGATGCTGGGTTCCTTCAAGAATGAACTATGTTGTTTGCGCCAGTCGAATTTTAGCCGTGTAAGGAATTGCTAAAGATTCAAAGCCACCCTGTTGAGATTCGCTCTAGGATTGCTCGAGTTACAGCGAATAGCTAGACCACGTTTGAATATAAAGAATTCGTATATCGCTCCAAGTCTACTGGTGTGAATATAGATTTTTCTTCTATTGTTTGTAGTGTGGAACTCTCCCCTTTTTACATAAGATGGACTCGTCCAAAGTATACTTATACTGACAGAGAGAATACCTGCTGTTGAGATACGTCGAGATCATTAGGTGCCCCATAGTTTCGGCCTTGTGCCACATCTAAGCAATGCTTAGAAAATCAATACGTCGAGATACAGTCTCAGCGTCTGTCGAACTCTCTGCTTTGCCAGAGAGGAACCCGGACGAAGTTTTGCCGAAGGGCAAGGTTTCGTCCGGGGAGGTGGACAGTCCCTGAACCCGTCTAGGCGGGTTCAAAGGGTATATTTTTGGCCGAGCCTACGGATACGGAGAAATCCACTTTAAACTCGGCCTTGTGCCATATATATTCATCGTAGGTGGGATATTAAATACTGAGATACGTTGAGATAAGTTGAGATACGTTGAGACAGGTTGAGAGATACGGAGACAGACACAGGGTGTTCTCAGAGAGTTATACAAGAGTCCAGATAGATAGATAGATAGATAGATAGATAGATAGATAGATAGATAGATAGATATGATTATGGCTTTACTTACAGAGACTTGTATATATACTTTCTACTAACCCGCATTCCTGGACTACTAATCTTCACTTGAAGTCTCTATTCTTACGTTTAATACACTTATTTTTCTATCTCAATTACTGGCGTTGTTTATTTATTTGTGCAGGATTCCATTCACGGAATTCACAACAGTTTGCATGCCAGAGCAAGAGACTAAAGTCAGTCCTGTTATTTACGCATAAATAGGGGAAAGGTGGATTCGTGCCTTTTCCAAAGATATTCTTGCTAAGTGAACTTAACGTATCCGTTCAGATATTGAACTCGAAACGCCGATCTCGCTTTGTGTTCCGATAACTGTTACTCGACCCGAACATATCATTATAATTAGTCATATATTAACTATTCGAATAGAAACAATGTGACCATTTAATAAAATAATGAAGAAAACTCTAACACGGATGTCATAAGTTTGCGGGGATAACCTTCCAATGTCCTTGTGACAGGTGTCATTCACAGCGAAGCATTTTGTGAATATTCAACGCGTGACACTAACAACTGGTCGGCGAGAGAAGATTGCCAATTATCGATCTACAACAGGCACGGAAACATGCCTTATTCAAGACCAGAAGAACGGCGGGGTTCCCAATGAGAATTGAGTTCACTGCGAATAGCAGTGTGCTGTAGACTAGCTTGCAAACCATCAAAGCTGATCAAAATAATTAGATTTTGTGTCGTCCGAAGAATCGATTATCAATTCAATAAAAGCGGGGAATTGGCGAGATACATTCTTGTCACGTCTAAAGAGCTCAATTACGCGATATCCAATAGTTTCTATTAAGGTGCCACCAAGGCGAATAGGACGAACAAGATGGCGAAAACGGAAAGCCTTTCCCCCCACTTGGCTCTAAAAAGACAATGTAGGCATTTGTTAAATTTACAAATCACGTTTGATTGTACATTGAGGCCCAGGCAGACGACAAAGGTTGAAATATGTGTTGATAGAATTAGAATATGTCCAACAGTAAATATGCAATAGTATCTCTTATCCGCGGTTTCTCTTAGAAATGCTCAACCCCAGAAGTAATTCATAATTTTTATTTAAAAACAAATAAGAGCAATGATTACTTGTCTTATTCGTAATGTTATCCTCATCTTAATTGCCATATTCACAACGTTCCGGACGTTGTAATCTCCGGCCTTTAAGTCTATGTCTCTCTATATGTCTGTCTATATCCCTGAGATGAGGTATTATGATTACTTGTTTTATTTACATTATTCGTACTGTTATCCTCATCTTCATTGCCATATTCACAACGTTTCGGCCGTTGTACTCTCCGGCCTTTAAGTCTATGTCTCTCTATCTATCTGTCTATATCTCTGAGATGAGGTATTATGATTACTTGCATTATTTACATTATTCGGACTGTTATCCTCATCTTCATTGCCATATTCACAACGTTTCGGCCGCTGTACGCTCCGGCCTTTAAGTCTATGTATCCCTATATATCTTTCTATATATCTGAGATGAGTTATTTTGATTACTTGCATTATTTGCATTATTCGGACTGTTATCCGAATCTTCCTTACAATATTGACAACGTTTTGGCCGTTGTACGCTCCGGCCTTTAAGTCTATGTCTCTCTATATATCTGTCTATATCTCTGAGATGAGGTATGATTAGGAAACTTTTTAAAGTTTTAATCAATTGACAAGGGTGTTAATAACAAATACATCTCAATGAAGATTGCATTAGATATTTTACAGACCTTTGTTAAGATGTGGTATAGAGTGTTATTTCACGCAACCTCTAGCTATAAAATCACTGGAAGGGTCTTCTCAATTATCAAGTTCTTCCTAACGGGTAGGTCTCTGAAGGTAATTGTTAAGGGCCAGCCCGCCGATGCCCAAGCGAGCAAAGTTTACATAAATGATGTGCCTAAGAATATACCCCAATCGTTTTTGAATATCTACACTGATGATAAAACGGCGTATATGGATAGGTGCACTTACACAATCTAGATGAATAGATCATGGCATATTGATCTCTCATCTGACTTAACTATATCACCTCGTGGGGGCAAAAACTCTCTTGTCACATTCAATGCCTCGAAAATCAAATTAGTGATGTTCCATCATTGCCGAGCAGATTTTCTCGAGGGCCAACCCTGGCATCACGTGCAACTCGTACATACGACCCATCGCTAATGATGCTGGAAAAAGGGTCGGTTCCTTTAACCATTCCAGTAAGTACCTGGCTCCTTGCGCTCTCCTCTGCCTTTTCAAGAGCCGGATCAGGTCGAAAATAGAATACTGTTGCCGTATATGGGAAAGTACTGCCCGTTTTTCACTTTCTCGTCTCGACAGAGTTCAAAAGCGTCTCCGCGCCCTCGTAGGTGATGAATTATTTTCCACTTAACAAAACCTTTCTCATAGACTAAACGTTGCAAGACTCTTGCAGACCCCCTCACTATGGAAAGTGTACAAATGAAATACGCTCTTTAGTTGCACAATCCTAACCTTCATGGCTACGACCATGACACGGCTATTGTAGCCTTGTTCCCTTTGGGTTGTTTTGGTGAGATGTAAGTTCCACTCGAGCCAATTCTCATGAACAAATGCTCTGTGGAAACAACACCAAAGAAAGAGGCAGTTTCTTGATTGCTGCTGCTTCTTTTTCTTCTTCTGATCCACCTCTTCTTCTTCTTCTTTCTCTGCTTTTTCTTCTTCTTCTTCTTCTTTTCTTCTTCTCCTCCCTCCTCCTCCTTTTCTCCTTCTGCTCTTCCTCCTTCATCTCCTTTCTTTTGTTCTGCTTCTGCTCCTCCTCCTCCACCTACTCCTTCATCATCATCATCATCATGCTGCTGCTGCTTCCCTCCTCTTCTTTTTCATTCTTTCTCTTCTTCTCATGCTCCTCCTCTTCCTACTTCTTCATCATTATCATCATCAGTTTCATGCTTTTTTTCTTCTTCTTCTTCTTCTTCTTCTTCTTCTTCTTCTTCTTCTTTTCCTTCTTCTTCTTGATTATCGCTCTCCGAAACTTACTATACTTCGTAGACAGCAGCGATATTTTTATTTTTACTATCTATCCCACTCACTGTTCTGACACTGATAAGTAGGTTACTCGCTGTTTCTGCCTGTCTTTATATCAAGTAGGTGCAAAAATTTGTATCCCTTTTTCCATATAATGTATCTCAGAAATTTCAACTGTCACTTTCTCATACTAAGTAAGTGTCCATTTTGATTCCATATTGCTTAAAATTTCACCTAATATATTGTTATCATTGTTCTATTGTCCTTTTCTATAAATATCTTATTGTACCAAAGAAAATCTACGGTGAAGACTAATCTTCTATCTGTGACATAACTTTTATTCAACCATATTGTTAGAATTAATTTTATTATTAGTTATTTTTGTTCGTTTCTTCTTGCGCCAAATATGACCTACGATGAGAAAGATTCTTTTATTATTACACTTTATTGTTAGAATTGTTGCATTTTATTATTAGATGTTGTTAATCTCTTATTGTATCTAATTTATAAATGGAACTTTATGATCACTGCGTATATGAAAACATTGTACATGAAGCTGTGGTTTCAGGAATCCACGAGAGCGTTCTTGAAATATATCCCCGCCTCCTGTAGATAATCTTTAGAATGGATTCCGCATATCAGCAGTGTCAGTTAACCAGAGTCGATTCCAGAAATAAAGAAATCACAAGATCTACTTAATGATTCCAAAATACCAGAATACGCCAAAGAGAAGCTCTAAAGTGCTTCCTTGAAGTGAAAAGGTGAAAGTTCTTGAATCGATATGGAAAAAAAATGATCATATGCTGAGATTGCTAAAATATAGGCGAAGAATTATCTATCTACGCACATATGCACAGGGGGTGTAATGGTTAGCAAGCTTGTCTCGATAGAAAGATTACGATTGAGTAGTGAGTTCGATCCTCACTGGGTGCCCCAAGCATTCGGCCTTGCGCCACATTTGAGCTACGCTTGGAAAATCACTACTCACACATGCACGCACACTCACAGACATGCGCACATACGCGAGCACGCTCACGCAAACACACACACACACGCATAAGTAAAACCAATCAAGGTTGTCTCTTGTACAAGAGAACATTAAAGATTAATTTTTTTTTTTACTAATGTCCAATCGTTGCAGGGCCCAAGAGCTACTAAAGTAAGAAGGCTATTGAAGGAGGATTTTCTGTGAGCGGTCAGAGTAAGCGGTAAGAAGCGCAGTTTATGAGGGTATATGAGAAAATGTACCAGGTAGATTTCAAGAGGTTGAGATTCTAGGAGTTGGGAGAGCATCCTCTTGGGAGTTAGTTAAAAAAAATAGCGGTTCTTACGAAGAAACTGTTTGAGTAGAACCTGCAACTTATTAGTGAAATATGGAGGGGATGAAGGTGGTTTGCCTCAGTGTATCACACACACACACACACACACACACACACACACACACATATATATATATATATATATATATATATATTAGAATAATACTCAGGGACCAGGCAAACCTACCTAGGTTTCACTTAAACGAATCTTCAGTCTTTCTACTCGTTTGGGGCTTTTTTTCTTTGGACTTGGTGCTTAAGCACTTGACGATTGGTTTCGTATTGTGTTAATATTCTTGGTTCTTTCTTCTTTATTCCGAATGTTTTCCTCAGGCACCGATTTTTTCTATTATAAGTTGAGCTATCCGAGTTTATATATATATATATATATATATATATATATATATATATATATCAAAGGGAAAAATTTAACAAATCACGAAAAATCCGGTAATAAATTTATTTCAGCAGATAAGTTTCAATACCGGCTTCATCAGACCGGAATTACAAACAATTGGATTATCCTTTCCACTTATCAATCTGATTATTACTACTACTAATATATATATATATATATATATATATATATATATATAGTAGTAGTAATAATCTTATAAGTATAAGGAATTATACCCGTCCGGAAAACGGTCGGTGTCTTGATTTGAAAATAATCAAACCAATACCAAAGGGAAAAAAAAGTATAAAAAAAGAAAGAACCAAGGCCATGTACGTTAGCCGAAAATAATCGTCTAGCATGCAGGTCCAAAGTTCAAAGCAAAAAAACCCGATACGAGTAAGCAAAATAACTAAAGTGCTCAATACGGTAAGTAGAGCAGACCTAGTTAAACATAGAGAACCAGAAAACCTACCAAGGTTTCACATAAGCGGATCGTCAGGGAAGGCTGGCTAAAAAGGCAACAAAAGAACGTTTGTTTGTCTGTCTCTCTCTCTCTATATATATATTATGAAATGGACTAAGTCCGACCATTATTTTTTATATATTTATGGCGTAGACGTTACTTTATAGATACAATTATTTAAGTAAATGCTCTGTTTACAATAAACTGTATTAACAACATTTACCGGTCCGATGTCAGCAAAATTTCATAGAAAATATGTGTCATTCAACAGGAATCGATCTTGTATCCTATATGGAACTATCATATAGCCTGACGTGGTATACCATTTAGCTACAGAGGAAGCATTTGTTTATCAAGGTCCAATTACTGTGTTTAAACTACAAATTTCATATGATTTCTCTCCAAAGCTTATATCTACCCGAAGCGAATCTTAACGTAAACAAAGGACGTCATATATTATGAAATGGACAAAGACATTTTTATGTTTATACATTATTTTTATTGATACAAATGCTCTGTTTATAATAAACAGTATTAAACAACATTTACCGGCCTGAATGTCCGAGAAATTTTTATAAAAAATATTCGTTCTCTGACAAGAATTCAGGCCAGTAAATGTTATTTAACGTCATTTGTTTACATTTGGATACGCCATAGATATGAATGTACGTGAGAGAATCATGAAAGATTGTAGTTAAAGACAGTAAAATCGACCTTGCTAACATAACGCTCCTTCGTGGCCAAATCGGTTAAAGGCACGTCAGGCTATATGACGGTTCCATTAAGGATACAGGTTCAATTCAAGAATGTATAAACATAAAAAATATCTTTATATATATATATATATATATATATATATATATATATATATATATATATATATATATTCTTTTCATTATCACTGCCGCATCTAGTTTCATGCTTCTGCTATAAATTTATAGATTTTTGATAAAATCAGAAGAAGAATCTGCAACATTATTACCTTACCTGGCATCCCGGTTTCAGTAGCTTCTCTATGCGATTCCTTTGAATAATTTCATGGTAATTGTTCTTATAAATGTTATGGCGCCTAGACTTTATGAAATTAAGTGCAGTATGAGTCGGTCGCATTTATATCTCTGTCACTTTTGCTATTATTTAGATCCTTATTGTTTTTTTTTTCTTTTAATACACTTGCTCTTCTAATAATGATTGCTGGCGATACCCATAAATATTTAAAGATTTTCCTATTCTCCTCCGGGTGACTTCCACGATTGTGAAAGACGCATAGTATTTTCCCCTTGGGCTTAACAAATATGAATGACCTGTATCTGTAACGGCATTCACCCGAGGTTGAGCCGGCTCCATATCATGGGAATTTGGAATTCACAAGCGGTCCCCAACCCACGTGTATAGCACATGAGATTTGATTATAGTGGTGAAGGTTTCGTGCAGGACCATCCACACTTTTTGAAGGGCCGATTACAGAGACCTGGTGCACTACGTGCCACAAGGTCCCCAAATGACCCTCTGCAGGTTTTGAATTCAGAATTTTCTTTCTCCTAGACCAGTTGCCATCCAAGGCTATAGAACCCAGTCTGCCCTGCTATTTACCCATAGCTGGAGGGAGAAGAAGAGGATTCACATCTTTCCCAAGGGTATTAGTAAGTGAATGTTAATATGAATGAAGGTCATTAGTTAAAGAAGTAAGAATGTACAAATGAAAATATTGAAAATTGAAAAGGTTTTCTATTTCACTGATGCAGACTTTAAACACATGTGAGTGTTATAGCCTCCTCTTTCTTGCTTTCTTTATTCTTTTGTTCTTCGCCTTCAAATAGCTATACCCCATTATGTACCTGAAGTAATGGCAGGGTTTACGCTTTCATGCCTACGACGAATAAAGGCACAGACGGAAATATAATATGATAGTTCACGACTGATGCATTTAACCGTCCTGGGTATGACGATAAACTACATCCGCGTCCTGGGTAAGACGATAAACTACATCCGACAGCAAGGCTTTTGATCAGGAGGTTTTGAAGAGCGTGGAAGCACCTGTTAATTACTGGTGTTTCCAGGTTCACCCTGACCTGGGGTGGTAGCACCTGTTAGGGTCCTAGCTATGGGCAAATAGTTAACCCCCCAAATGGAGTCAAAACACTATGAAAATGTAAAAATAAGTTTTAGTACCGGCTATACATTTTTGTAAAAAATTATTACCAGCAATAAATCTTTGAAGAAAAAAATTATTATCAGCAATACATTAACAACAGTACATTTTTATAAAAAATATTAGCAGCAATAAAACTTTTGTTGGCATTAAATAACCCATTGAAGTTGATATGCCGCAAACCAAACCAAACCAAACCAATATAGATAGATAGATAGATAGATAGATAGATAGATAGATAGATAGATAGATAGATATAAAAAAAATATTGGCAGCAATAAAAATCTTGTCGGCATTAAATAACCCATTGAGGTTGATATGCAGTAAAACAAACGAACCCAAACGATTCATTTAAAAGAAGATATGTTTAAAATATGGCATTCTATTGTTTTTTAAACAAACCTATTTCGTGTTGCTTAATCGGGGTACATTTTATCTAATTTTATGCGTGGATATTTATTTTTTAATTAGCCAGCAATAAAAGCTAAAAAGTATTATTTGTAAAATCCACAAGTTCCACGGAGTATATCATTTAAATGTGTCAAAAAATTAGTCAAATTTGTAACAAATATTTTACTCATCAATATATTATATTCATCTTTTAATAGCAATTAATTTATTCATTTCACCCCGGGAGTATTTATCGATTTTTTTTTTCTGCAGGGTATAATTGACAGCTTATCTTTAGATGGCTTTACATCGGACATAGTCAAATCGAATGAATGTCTTCTGCTCTGCGACCTAGTTTGGCGCACATATGCATTGTGGGTAATATTTTTTGCAATTAACGCAGACGATTAGTCAGAAGTTTGATGCAGTTCTGAATCCAGAAGATTTCTCCAGTTATAACTGGGCGAATCAATCGGATTAAAATTAATACAGAAATAATTGCTTAGACGTGAAAATATATCCTCTTTTTACTCTTGGCTTTTGTTGAACATCCTTATTACTTGCTTCTCCCTTCTAGATTTCACCCCCTTACACACACACACACACACACACACACACACACACACACACATATATATATATATATAATTACATGAATCATTCATACAAAAAACAAATATAGAAGTTAATGATTTAAATGGCGAGAATACATCTTCGCAAACAATTTCAATAAGGTACACCAACCCCAAACCTGTATATGAATGATATGATCCCTGTTTATAAATTCCAGTTGTATAAAGGTCTTTTTTAGTTTTTACAAGCTTTCGTCTGTTCCTACAGACATCCTCAGGTACGGAAATAGATTTGTTCTTCTTTTTTACTTCTCGGTAATAAGAGGACAACGAAAATAGAGATGTAATCCAAAAAAAAATGCTATAAGAAATGTGTTATTGTTTTGGAACGTGCGGTCGCAACGCTGAGTTTGAATTTTAAGGTTGTGTGTTTTTGTACAAATATAGTAATAAGAGAATTCTTTTGTACTGGTAGGTTTTGGCATGAACTATATTGTTCAATAATTACAGGAATACATACATATATATATATATATATATATATATATATATATATATATATATATATATATATATATATACTATGAGCCTAAAAGAGCGAGGCAAACCGTCTGGCCCCAGCGTACCCTGACGATCCGCGTAGGTGAAACCTAGATAGTTTTACCTGGCTCTTTAGGTTCATATTTAGGATTGCTCTACTTTGAGGACTTTACTTAATTACATTTGCTTTACTCGGTTTGGAGGGTTTTTTCTTTGGACTCTGAGCTTGGATTCTGGAAGATTGTTTTCCCCTCAATTACATGTTCTTAGTTCTTTCTTTTTTATCCCTTATTTTTCCTTGGGCATTGGTTTGTTCGATTACAAGAAAAATACCTAACGAGTATATATATATATATATATATATATATATATATATATATATATATATATATATATATATATATATATTGTGTATTTAGGTAGCAATCCTTAATTTATACATGCCTATCCAGACACCTAACGTTACACCTATTCGACTACAGCTCTATTAGAACTCATTTAAACACACGCAAAAACTTACCTGACTCAATACGAAACATACTAGTAGAAAATACAAGCATAATAAGCTCATTCAGATGTAAAAAAAAATAAAAATAATGGAAGTCTTAATAATAAAAAAGAAAAAGCCAACACTCAGTGATATTAACTATGAACACGGCCACAATGTGCTGTGTTCGGAAAATAAAACATCCCTATAACTCTAGGAACATACATACAATTCATACACTGAATTAAAAAGCAAAAATAAAATCATCCTTGATAATGGCTGAAAGGTATAGCCGAAAAGGCTAGGAATTACAAAACATTTGGACAGTTTCTACACACTCTGTTTCTAGAAAAGAAAACACTTGTTCGATCACAAGAAAAATTAAATGAAAAGCTTAATCGCAGTACCATATCTGTCGTCTTTAATGAAATACATACATACATACATATATATATATATATATATATATATATATATATATATATATATTAGGGACATATGTGTTAGTGTGTGTGTAACAACTCTTCATTACTCCATGTCCGATTAAAATTCGGAAACTATCCATATTTTTAATTTTTCTCTCACTTAACTCGTGGTGTACGAGTATGCAGGTAAATAAAACCAAATAGATTAATATGTTTGTCAGTCAACAAACTTAAATTAATCATTTTATTCAACCCAGAGGAAAGCCACATTTGCGTTGACTTGCGTATATTTGAAAATGTAAACTAACAGCTGTCATTTCAAAAAGGGTTTTTAATTCAATTCTCGGGAATACATTTTTTTCTCGCACAAGTACAGACATGTTCCACTTTTCGAATTCTTCATATGAAGATAATTATCGAGCAGTATTGGAAGGAGTACGTGTTCATGTTATGCTGTTAGCATAAAATGAGTGAAAGGAATTCTGAGCAGTGGATTAAGATCAAGTTTTGTGTGAAGAGAGATAAAATTGCGAGTGAAAAGTTAATTCTATTTAAAATGGATTACGGGAATGGTGCTATGAAGAAATCGAGTGACAAAGTTGGTTGAAGGAAGGGCGAAAAGATGTGTACGATGTCGCAGGAACAGGCAGCCAAAAACTCAATGATCAGATGGAAGTTTGAACAGAGTATGAAATTATGGTTCGCCCAGATCTAATACAGTGTAACCCGGATATAAGAGAGTTGTCGGGACCGGAGAAGAAGTCTCTTATATCCGGGTTTCTCTTATATCCGGGTTTGGTCTATTTTATATACATTAACACAGGTTCTAATTTGGGACCAGAGAAAATCTCTCTTATATCCGGGTTTCTCTTATACCCGGGTCTCTTATATCCGGATTACACTGTAATACGTATGCCACATATAGCACAATAATTGGGTATGAATAAAAAAGGTGAAGCAGGTACTATCTTGGAAATAAGAATAATTTCCTGAAAGATGGTGCCTAAAATCTTGATAGTTTAATTCCCGAAATGGTGTTATAAAAGTAAAGTTGACTTCCATGATCTCTGTCACCTGTTCCATGTCAGCTGTTACGTTTAAAAAATCTTCTTGTTATGCTCAAAACAATAATGTGCAGATAAGCAAACTTTCTTCTTCTTCTTCTTCTTCTTCTTCTTCTTCTTCTTCTTCTTCTTCTTCTTCTTCTTCTTGTTTTTAATTTATTTAATTAGACATAGCTAAAAGAGAATTTCCTGCCTAAATATACAAATACATATGTGTATTTAACCCATAGCTGGGGGACAAGAAATGGCTTCATAAATTTCACAAGGTAATTTCGCTTAAGTGAATGTAATTAACCTAACTGTAACTGGAACTCGGTTCTCTGATATGCGGTGGTATAATATATATATATATATATATATATATATATATATATATATATATATATATATAGTTTATGAAAAAAACTAGGTAATTCGTTTGGGTAAACCTAAGGAGGATAAAATCCAGAGAGCTCAGTGTAAATCCGCAGTCCTTTAAAAGGGCTGTGGTGAAATAATTTATTACATGGAAGCTTAAAGTGGTCTGTTTTTATTTAATATATATATATATATATATATATATATATATAATTATAAAACAGTTAGTGGTCAGTGTTGAATCAGATTAGGAAACAGTTGTATTAAAATGTGGTCAATACACGTATAAAAAAAAAAATAAAAAATTAACATGCAACTGTTGATCAGAAT